TACATTTCAAACTTCTGATGAAATAGTCTACCATCTAAAAACAAAAGCTTATATCACTATAAATGTGTTGGACTCCAAAGTGCTAAAACTAAAGCTTTGTTGCTTTAGTTGCAACAAAGTAGCAGAGCTACCCCTTCTGGAAATGCTGTTTGTTCATTGAATTATTTTATTGATCAGTTCTGTTTCTAATGTTTTCTCATGGGTATGTGTGGAAGGTTAACAATGTACTGATTCCTATCCCCAACCATCTGTCGGGGATGGTGGATTTTATTTCAGCACATTTTGAAGAGAAAATGAATTTGCAATGATTTCATAAAACAGTCATGGTTAAGTCAAACTGTTTTGTGGACTCTATTGCTGAACATATGTTAGAAGAATGGGAGGTGGGAAACCTCACTTGCCTAGTTCCCAACAGTCCTCACAACCTCTGAGGATGCCTGCCATAGATGATGGAAAAATATCAGGAAAGAATGCTTCTGGAACATGGCCATACAGCCCAGAAAACTCACAGCAACCCAGTGATTTTGGCCATGAAAGCCTTCAACAACACAATGTCTTAATTACCTGCTTTCCATGCCTTGAGTCCAGAGATCTAATTTGCACTACCTTGAGACCTCTACACTCTCTGCATCTTTCAAGGGCCTAATCTATAGGGAAAGTTCACTTTCACCTTCCCCAGTATGAGCAACATCTGCTGGTTCAGGGTCAGGCTGACCTGTCTCACACCAGCCTGTCGGCAAATCTCCCTAAATGCTCTCAGCCACTTCATTTTGAACCCTATCATCCTCATCTGAATCAGCTGGCCCTTGCCAGGCTACAATATTAGAACTCTCTGCAACCATTCCTTTCTTTCTTAGAATATTAAACAGGGCTTGAATTAACAGTTGGGCAACGAGAGATAAGGAATCTGCTTGTGTGTACGTTGGCATTTCCACATGTGCACATAAAAGTCCAGTGCATCTCAGAATTTTTTTAAAAAAAACTTTCACCGGGTGTCCCCTGTTCCCCCTTCATCTTGATCCACTTCAAAGGAAAGTGTGAGGATAGTGGGGGACCATTTCCCAGGACTGACAGGTCTATGTGTTCTGTCAGGTCCCAAGATTTTTTTACTCCACTTTTAAAACCTGCATTTTGACACTGTCTGAAAGTGCCCTTGTAAACGTATTGACCAAAGGAAAAAAAAATAGAGGACTACTTGAATACTGATCTTGCATTAAACAATGCTTTCAGATCATTTTCCATCAAATTATAGAACTATATGGGAAGCCATGCAATAGGAATACCATTAGCATAGTTTTTGCTTTACAAACAAGCCAAACACCTTTACTATCACAATGTTGTTGTTCATTCGTCTCCGACTCTTCGTGACCTCATGGACCAGCCCACGCCAGAGCTCCCTGTCGGCCGTTACCACCCCCAGCTCCTCAAGGTCAGTCCAGTCACTTCAAGGATGCCATCCATCCATCTTGCCCTTGGTCGGCCCCCTTTTGCCTTCCACTTTCCCCAGCATAATTGTCTTCTCTAGGCTTTCCTGTCTCCTCATGATGTGGCCAAAGTACTTCAACTTTGTCTCTAGTATCTTTCCCTCCAGTGAGCAGTCGGGCTTTATTTCCTGGAGGATGGACTGGTTGGATTTTCTCGCAGTCCAAGGCACTCTCAGCACTTTCCTCCAACACCACAGCTCAAAAGCATCGATCTTCCTTCGCTCAGCCTTCCCTAAGGTCCAGCTCTCACATCCGTAGGTGACTACAGGGAATACCATGGCTTTGACTAGGCGGATCTTTGTTGCCAGTCTGATGTCTCTACTCTTCACTATTTTATCGAGACTGGACATTGCTCTCCTCCCAAGAAGTAAGCGTCTTCTGATTTCCTGGCTACAGTCTGCATCTGCAGTAATCTTTGCACCTAGAAATACAAAGTCTGTCACGGCCTCCACGGTTTCTCCCTCTATTTTCCAGTTGTCAATCATTCTTGTTGCCATAATCTTGGTTTTCTTGACGTTTAGCTGCAACCCGGCTTTTGCGCTTTCTTCTTTCACCTTGATTAGAAGGCTCCTCAGCTCCTCCTCGCTTTCGGCCATCAGAGTGGTGTCATCTGCATATCTGAGGTTGTTAATGTTTCTTCCAGCAATTTTCACCCCAGCTTTGCATTCATCCAGACCCGCACATCGCATGATGTGTTCTGCATACAAGTTAAAAAGGTTGGGTGAGAGGATGCAGCCTTGCCGTACGCCTTTCCCAATCTTGAACCAGTCTGTTGTTCCATGGTCTGTTCTGACTGTTGCTACTTGGTCCTTGTACAGATTCCTCAGGAGAGAGACAAGGTGGCTTGGGATGCCCATCCCACCAAGAACTTGCCACAATTTATTATGATCCACACAGTCAAAGGCTTTAGAATAGTCAATGAAGCAGAAGTAGATGTTTTTCTGAAACTCCCTGCCTTTCTCCATTATCCAGCGGATATTGGCAATTTGGTCTCTCATTCCTCTGCCTTTTCTAAACCCAGCTTGAACATCTGGCAACTCTCGCTCCATGTATTGCTGGAGTCTTCCTTGCAGGATCTTGAGCATTACCTTACTGGCATGAGCAAATAAGGGCCACTGTACGGAAGTTTGAGCAGTCTTTCGCATTTCCCTTTTTTGGTATGGGGATATAAGTTGATTTTTTCCAGTCTGATGGCCATTCTTGTGTTTTCCATATTTGATGGCAAATGGCATGCATCACCTTGACAGCATCATCTTTTAAGATTTTAAACAGTTCAGCTGGGATCCCGTCGTCTCCTGCTGCCTTGTTGTTAGCAATGCTTCTTAAGGCCCATTCAACCTCACTCCTCAGGATGTCTGGTTCTAATTCATTCACCACACCATCAAAACTATCCTCAATATTATTATCCTTCCTATACAGATCTTCTGTATAGTCTCGCCACCTTCTCTTGATCTCTTCAGCTTCTGTTAGGTCCCTGCCATCTTTGTTTCTTATCCTACCAATTTTTGCCTGAAATTTACCTCCAATGTTTCTAATTTTCTGGAAGAGGTCTCTTGTCCTTCCTATTCTGTTGTCTTCTTCCACTTCCATGCATTGCTTGTTTAAAAATAGTTCCTTATCTCTTCTGGCTAACCTCTGGAATTGCGCATTTAACTGGGCATATCTCCCCTTTTCACTGTTTCCTTTTGCTTTCCTCCTTTCTTGGGCTACTATCACAATACAAACTAGTTATTCATTTTTCCATGCTACTGTATAAACTAGTAAACTGCAGGGAAAGGGGAGAGTCCACCTTGGCCACAGTGATCCACGCTCTTGTTACATCCTGAATAGACTATTGCAACGCACTCTATGTGGGGTTGCCTCTGAAGACTGACGCTCAGCAGCCAGGTTACTTGCAGAAGTGGGATACAGGGAGTGCACAGTGCCCTTGTTACACCAGCTCCACTGGCTGCCTATTAGCTCCCGAGCACAATTCAAAGTATTGGTTTTGACCTATAAAGCCCTAAATGGCTCTGGCCCACTTTACCTGTCCGAGCGTGTCTCTTCCTATGAACCATCAAGGACTTTAAGATCATCTGGGGAGACTCTGCTCTCAGTCCTGCCAACATCGCAGTGGCATTTGGTGGGGATGAGAGATAAGGCCTTCTGCTTGGTGGCCCCTCGGCTGTGGAACACCCTCCCTAAAGAGGTTAGATCTGCCCTCTCCCTCCTGACTTTTTGCAAGACACTTAAGACTTGGCTTTGGGAGCAAGCATTGCAGAATAGACAGTTTTTATTTGTTTAAATGAGATTGTATGGACTGCATTTTTGGACCGATTTGGAGCATGTTTTAAACTTGAACTGTTTTTTAAATGTATATTTAGTATCATTTTATGTAATTGTGTATTTTATTGGTGTCTTTATATTGTCGGAAGCCACCCTGAGTCGCTCTTCAGAGGTCGAGAATAGGACGGGATACAAATGTTCTAAATAAATAAATCAATAATATAGTGCTAGGTGTCCTCAGGGAAAGTAGTGTTTCAAACTAGCCTCATCCTTTACATCTTCCAACAGGCAGGTTGTTCCCTCAGTGCCAGCAAACATTGCTTTAGTGAACTACAGCTCCCAGAATCCCCCAGGGGGGTTGTTTTTTGCTATGTGAGTCTGAAGATTCCAGAAATTGTAGCCCAAAGAGGGCTTTTTATAAGATCTGTCCAGTGTGCCACCAATGATTACCTGAATGTAGGTTTTGGCATGCAAAGTAGACCATGATGCAGGTGTGGGGGTCCTATGGCTATGACACTAGTCACCCCATTGATGAACAGGGTTAAGCTGATTACGACCTCAGTCACCCCATTGATCAGCAGATCTGAGCTAGGAGAGTGCCCACTTTGCTAAGCAACTCTTCCCAGCTTAAGTACTTTGTGAAAAAGGATAATAATCCCATATAGAAAAATGTGGCATTTTTTCATCAAGGGCGTATAATAGCTATATTTCCTTATTACAACCTCCAAACAAGTAGCCTATGAAGTTCGTAAGTATTTTTTCCTCTTTGGCTTTCTATTCAAGTTGCATGTGTTGAAAATGATTGCACAAGATTGTTATATTATCTAAGCTAATGGCAATTAAGTGACAAGATTTTTCTTTCCCTTTTGCTTTTATGGCATATGTTTGTTAGCTTTTATGGTGACTTGTGATTCAATAAACATAGCAGCACATCATTATTTTCTGTCTTCCCTGATGATTGATTTGCTTTTCCTTGGGAAAGCTTCTTTATGGCTCATATTGCCTGGAATAATGGAAGACAATTTAAGCTAAAATCATTTGTAGTTAACTACTTGTTGTGTAACCAATTACTCTTTGCTTCCTTTGCTACATCCCTTTCCTTTGGGACATCAAGAACGTCCACAACTAGAGGCATAACAGGGAAGTCCCTAACTTCATAACAACAACTATTATTTATCTAACACAATACTATTCAAAATAGGATCAAAGAACCTTTGGATCGCTGTGTTTTTTTAAATATAGCACTCATGATTGCCATTTATTTTTATTTATTGTATCAGAAGCAAATTGAGGGTACAGTTAAAATGTATTTAAAACACAAACAAAGTTAAAAACTGAGCATTATACTAAATGTCCTTTAACCAGTAGCTGGCCACTTAGAGTGCCTCTGGTGTCACTGTGAGAAGGTCCTCCATTGTGCATGTGGCAGGGTTCGGATGCATTGTAGTAGGTGGCCTGTGGTTTGCTCTCCTCCACACTTGCATGTTGTGGACTCCACTTTGTAGCCCCATTTCTTAAGGTTGGTGCCAGAGCCCAGTCTGTTCAGTGCCTTCCAAGTCACCTAGTCTTCTGTGTGCCCAGGAGGGAGTCTCTCATTTGGTATCAGCCATAGATTGAGGTTCTGGGCCTTAGCCTGCCACTTTTGGACTCGCTTGCTGAGGTGTTCCTACAAGTATCTCTGTAGACCTTAGAAAGAAATTTCTTGATTTAAGGTAGTGGTGTGCTGGCTAATATCTGGACAGTGGATGGGCTGGAGATGTCACTGCGTTGGTCCTTTCGTTGTTGGCTGGTACTTCTCAGCAAATGTCAGATGGTGCAATACTGGCTAAACACTATAATTTCTCCAGTGGTGTTCATCAGCTTCAGCAGACTGCACCTTGCTTTTGGCCCAAAGTTCTTAATTTGTTTCATCCGTAGATCACCCAGGCCAGCTGCTTTGTCATTTTTACATTTATTGAGAGCTATTTCCAATTCAGCAGATGTAAAAGATTCATGAAAGTTGTTGCTTTCACTATCTGGTTGTTTGGCTATTGGTTTCCTTCCTAGTTTGGTGGCAAGGTTGGGTTTCCCATTCTTCATAAGTATGCTTATGTTGGCATGGTTATTAGATTGTGAGGGATCACTGCTCAGCTGTCTTAGCAGCTTCCATGCCTCAGACTACTCCTGCCCATATCTACTTCTGTTATCAGCTTTATCCACTGTTCTTTCTTGGCTTCGAGGATGGAAGATAAAATGTTCTGTGCTGGCTGAAGAGTTTGCTCACTCATGATTACTTACTATTGGCCTTGTTGACTGGGGCTGATAGACATGGAAGTCCAAAAAATCTGGAGGACCACAAGATCATTGAACACAGTAGGAGTGGACAGCTCCCCCTCTTCCAGATGTTGGATAGCAAATCCCATCAAGCTTAGTCTAGCAATTGATGTGGAATAGCAGGAGTTGTAATCCAATATGTTGAACTGTCAGCCCTTCACATTCACTGGGGTTAGAGGTTCAGGACCTCTGCAAAAATGGGGAAAAAACCTACAATTTTAAAACTTACTACTTTTTTACTTGGAAGTAAAAAATGATCTAGAGATTTTCTAAAAAAACCTCTATGGTGAACCTCTACCAGAAGTTAGCCATGGAATCACACTGGAAGACCAACAAATCACTACAGAAATGTTCCTTAATTTATTTATTTACCATATTTATATCTTGCCTTTCTCACCCCAGAGGGGACTCAATACTGGGAAATTCCTCAAGAGAACATATTAATCAAATCCATGAATAATCAAATCCACAAAAATGAAACCTTCAACATGGAGGGTCAGCTAATGTTAGATGGTGAGTGATTTTGTGTCACTAATATTTCCATGTTGAGAAGCCTTGTGGCTATATAGTTCTAATTACATTGTATTGTTGAAGGCTTCCATGGCCAGAATCACTGGGTTGTTGTAGGCTTTTCGGGCTGTATGGCCTTGTTCTAGAAGCATTCTCTCTTGACTTTTCACCTGCATCTATGGCAGGCATCCTCAGAGGTTGTGAGGTCTGTTGGAAACTAGGAAAATTGGGTTTATATATTTGTGGAAAGTGCACAGTGGGAGAAAGAACTCTTGTCTGTTGGAGATAGGTGTGAATGTTTCAATTGGCCACCTTGATAAGCATTTGATGGCCTGACAGAATAATCTTTTGGTTGATTTTGATATAGAGGTGCAACGGTTCCTTGTCTGTGTTTGCGAGTTCTTTGGGGATGGTGTGAATTCCCTTGTAAGAGATTGTATTCCAGGCAGTCATAGATATGGTGAGCCTGTGGTGTTTTGAAAGTTCTTTTGGCTGCAAGAAATTGTGGGACAGTATCTGTGTCTCTGTAGCGTAGAAGGAAAGTCAGAGAGCACAGTACATGTGCTTTCCTGGTCCTTAGTTTTTCCAATTTTTGTATATCTTGGAACAGTTTCTCCCTGTAGAGATGTTCAATGTATTGTGGAAGGCTTTCATGGTAAATAATTACATTATTTGCAGAGAGAATAACAAGGAATCTTCCTCAGATAATTGATCCTGGAAATATTGTGCCACTTTCTGCAATTGATAAAAATACTGAGGTTGAAGTATTCACTGGATCCCTCAAGACACATCCATATATGCCAAAACTCCTCCATCATACCTGTATTCACCTGTGATCCAATAATCTACAACTGAATGGCAGAGACAGGGCCTATTTACACACTGACCTAACCTCGTATATTTTTCATGGCTTCAAAATAATTATCTGGAACAGGATACTAGCTAGTGCTTAAAAAAGATCAGCCAGTACATCACACAGAGTTCCACCCAATCATCATTTCTTGTTAGAACTCAGTAGCTTTTGTAGATTTGCCAAGATATTTTTCATATGGTTTTTCTGAGGTGTCATTACATGTCAACCATTCCAGTCCATAACAGTTAAATGATATCACTGCCATGTTGAGCTTTATTGTATACTTCAGTTCATCTGATACAACTCTGACTAAAACATTCAGCACTGGGCACTGCTGGAGGCAGGATAATAGACTTGATGGACGAATGCGTTGATATGGTATGGCAAATGCTATCTTCCCTTAAGTAAACAATTCCGAAGTTCAAGATATTTTGGTAGACATGGCTGTAAAACATTATTTTTAAAGCCTCTAGTCTTCTTTAAACCTGCAATGAAACACATCCCCCCACTAAGTCACTCACCATATTTAAGTGGCTGTTGCAAGGGAACAAATTAATATCTGAAGTATCTGTTGTAGTGTAAAGCTTTCCAAAGATGTCATTTCTCCCCATAATTTTCTGTTACTGCCCTGGAAAGTAAAAGCAATGAATGTTCAGTCATATCATTTCCACTCATGATTATTTATATTGTTATTCATGGCATGTATGCCCACACCTCCACCCTCTGTATGAAAAGGGTGGGTGGGCTAAACAGTGAGAACATAGAATAAATTTAAATAAACTTGTTTTTTTGTTAAGTGCTTCTCTTAGCTGCTTAAAATGTTTTGTTTGCATATTCTGCCTCCTTTGGTCTATTCCTTGGCTTGTTTTTCAAATACTATCCTTACTTAATAGCTTAATGTATAGCAATAATCTACTTTAGGCCTATAATGGAGTAAATGTGTCAGAAGAGTACCACACAGCACAAACAGGTGAAAAGCTAAGGGCATGTTGCCCAGTGTGGCTTATGTTTTCTCAGACATGCCTCTAAACTTTCATGGGATTTACTTCTAAATAGATGTACAGAGGAGTCCAATCAACCAAGAGCACCATCCAAACTGGTCAAGGTGGCCAAGGGCCAATTGTGCTAACAGCAGGCCACCTAAAACTGTGCTTAGTCCAAACCCCTCTGAGATTATTTCAATTTCTAACCTTGTCTAATTTTGCTTGGGCATTGCAACTGAGTCAGATCTCAGCTAAACCTCTTCTCCGCCCTCCTGTATTTGGTTCTTCTATCAGCACAATTTAGCCAGAAGAGTACTTCTGTCAGTGGATAATTCTCTCAGGAGGTGAGAGAAGTCTAAATCTAACTTGCCACAAAGTTCATCTTTGAGTTAGGATTTCCCTGAGATACATCTAGAGATACTTTTGACCAGCATGCCTTGCTTTTAGCAGCTTGCAGAATTCAGCAAAGCAGTGATGGATTCTATCGTGTTTTCTTTTTACATTGAATTGAAAAGTGGTACTAAAATCTGACATGTTATCAGGACCAGGAAATTAGGCATTATTTTAGTAGGAGGAATTTTGACATGTTAATGGTCTCATCCACATTAGGTGTTATTTCACTGCCCTGAAATATCCATACAATGTATGATTGGGTCTGTGCTGTAAAACATTAATCCCATGCTTAATGGAAAAGAGAAAATTGGAAAAAAGATTCCATGGTTGTAACAATGGGGAGAAGACAGAGGTCTTTCTCTTCAAATATGTTTAACAACCTGTTCTTTTTACATGCAAGTTACTATCCTTGCACACAAACCCATGTGTTTTCCTTGACCACAAAAGATAGTCAAGCAATCAGGTTAAAAACTGAAAAGGGCTCTTGCACCTTTAATGGCTGTGTAGAAGAGGAGATTTCAGAAGGTGGAGCTTGTCATACAAACAGGTAAAAAGCAATGCCTGATTTTTCCCCCTAAGCCATTGTTAAAGGGAATGGGAGCCACCTTCATTTTTTATTCTGGCAGCCCAGGGTAGAAAGAGTAAAGCAACATCTTTCCCTATAGAAGGTCCTAGGTTTTTTTTTTCACATTAAAAGGATCTGGTGAATGTTGTTGTTAATATCCTTCAAGAAGACTTCAGTTTATGGTGAGAAACCTCCAATTCCCCCATCCTCAACTGCACTGCTTGTGTCTTGCAAACAAGGCTGTGGCATCCTTGATTGAGTCTATCCATCTAAAATGTGGTTTTCTTCCTTTCCTATTGACCTCTATAAAGACATTAAAAGAATATCGAGGCAGGGGGGACAAAGAATCCCACCGCTGCCACCAATTATAAAGACATAAAAGGCTCCTTTATGGCTGTCTGGGCAGGGGGCAAACAGATCCCACCAACTGTCCCTCCTTTAATAAAGAATTCACTGGCACCTATATAACACTTGAGGAGATGACTAAAGGCTTTTAAGACCACCAAGTACTGTTTTTTTATTTTCTTATTTAAAAGAAGCAGGTGAGGTTGAATGAAAAGAACTATAGCCACAAAGGCACACTGGACTCAGGCTTTTTAGGTTTTAAAAATAATCAAGTAAAGTTTATTGATAGAGGTACAGAATGAAGTGAATGCTGTCTAATAAGCTTGGCTGTTACAGATAAAATGTTTTGGTCCTTGAAAGCGTAACGGTTGCATGAGAATGGTTCTTTCTTTATTACAAACTACAAAACCCAGCTATTTCTTCCCTAAATAGCTGTACCCAGTTTGCCACAGCTTACTTCGCTGGCAAACTTCAGGCAAACTGCCTATTCTTAACACGAACTCCTAAAAGCTTCTGTAATCCTGCTCTAAACTCTAACATCAACAACAGACTGACCCACTGAAACAGCTTCTTTCTTTCCCTCCAAACAGTCTAACTCCGCCCCCCTTTAATAACCCAATCCTGGCTGCTCTAAGGCTGGCTCAGGCCTAGGCCACTCCCCCTCTCTGAAATGGAGCTTTCCCTAAACTAAAATGGCTCCTGCTGCCCTCTGCCAGGCCTTCTAAGGCTGAAACTAACTGGCCTGCCTCTCCTAGGCCCTGCCACCCAGGCTGGTAAGGTAAGGGATCTTCACAACCTCCACTTTACTAAGCATCATCTTTCCTAGTGATTCATAGAATCATAAAGTTGGAAGCGCCTCATGGGACATCCAGTCCAACCCTCTGCCAAGAAGCAGGAAAATCGCATTTAACGCACCCCTGACTGATGGCCATCCAGCCTCTGCTTAAAAGCCCCCAAAGAAGGATCCTTCATACATCTCTTTTCATGATATGCCCAAAGTTAACTTAGGTTATAGGGAAAATCTAGGTCTGATTTTCTCTAGAGCCCATTCATGTGTCATTTTAGCAGTCCAGCAAAAGAAGGGACTTTTGCTGGACAGAACTATTCTTTAGAACAGCGATTTTCAAACTTCCTAATGCCACAATCCCTGAATACAGTTCCTCATTTTGTGGTGACCCCCAACCATAAAATTATTTTCATTTCTACTTCATAACTGTAATTTTGCTACTGTTTTGATATGCAGGATGTATTTTCATTCACTGGATGAAATTTGGCAGAAATACTCGATACACCCAAATTTGATGGGCTTGGGGGGGTTGATTTTGCCATTTGGGAGTTTTAGTTGCTGGGATGTATAGTTCACCTACAATCAAAGAGCATTCTGAACCCCACAAGCGATAGAATTGGGCCAAACTTACCACACAGAACCCCCATGACCAACAGAAAATACCGTGTTTTCTGATTGTCTTTGGTGACCCAACTGACAACCTCATGATCCCGCCCCCAGGTCCTGACCCCCAGGTTGGGAAACGCTGCTCTAGAAGCACAACATAAATGTGTTGGCCCTTGTGGTCTCTTTCAACTCTGTGATTCTATTATTTATTTATTTATTTACTTTGCTTGTATACCACAGTTTCTCAGCCCGTAGGCAACTCAACGCGGTTCACAACAAGAGCAAAAGTCAATCGAACAACATACAATATTTAAAACCATTAACAGCATAATATACAAAATAATGACACATCAATAACAACACATCAACGTCTCGTAACTAAAATCGTGATCCAATTCGTCATCCATAATTCCATTTCCTATATCCATCATTCATTGCACTATTTATCCGAACGCCTGTTCAAACAGCCAGGTTTTTAGTTTTCTTTGAAACACCATTAATGAAGGGGCAGATCTAATGTCCATGGGAAGGGCGTTCCACAGCCGAGGGGCCACCACAGAGATTATTCATATTTCCCATATATGTTCTTGCATGAGAGATCTGATAAACATCTAGATAGGCAAAATTTTCAAGTGGCACACTGGACTTTTGATATCCACTAGGACTTGGTTCCAAGACATACCCCATACCCAAATCATTCATGGATGCTCAAGTTCCATTATAGACAATGGCACAGTAAAATGTCCCTTATAGAAAATGGCTTGCTTTGGGGGATATTTTTTTTTTGGGGGGGGGGGGGGCATTATTTTAAGCTGTGGTTGATGGAATCCATGGATGCAAAATTTCTGTGTATAGTGCAGTGATTCTCACCCTGTGGGTCCCCAGATATTTTAGCCTTCAAGTCACAGAAATCCTAATAGGTGGTAAACTGGCTGGGATTTCTGGAGTTGTAGGATAAAACACCTGGGGACCCACAGGTTGAGAACCACTGGTATAGAGGGTCAGCTATAAAACAGCTTCTTCTATATATTTTTTCTTTTTGTGGTCTATGCTTTTGAGTCCATAGACTGGTGACATACATTTGCACAGGATATGAAGATCACTGAGAAACGACTCCCTAAAACATATTTAGGATCAGCCTCTAAAGTTCAACCAATGCGGAGTTGGGAGTGTGGTCTACAAATCACTTCTTTCAGAAGAGTCCTCCGAATGTCTTGTAGCCTGAAACAGCCGCACTTCAACGTCCAAAATTTCCTCTTTCAGCTCCGAGACTGGTTCATTCCTGGCAAGTCTCCCCTCTGAAACATCATGGTCATGGGAGGTGTTCTTCCGTTATTGATTTCCCACCCTCTCACCCTCCTGCAGCAACTGGAAGGCAAATGAAGGAGCAAGTGAAGACCTTTTCCAGAAGGGCACTCTTTCCCATAAATGTGTGTTTTTGCTGATATGTGTTCAAGGCATCAAACTGTGCCTTTGTTGTGAGCCGCCCTGAGTCCCCTCCGGGGTGAGAAGGGTGGGATATAAATTAAATAAATAAATAAATGTGTGCCCTTGACTAAACTGCTAAGGACCTGGCCCAATCATTTCTCTCAGGTGAATTTCAGGACACTTCCAACCCATCCTAGAGGACACGGGGTGAAAACCAGGAGGTCTCTACAACTCTGCCCCGAACTGGGAAAGGTGGTTTGTTTGCCATAGAAGGTCCTAGGTCAAATTTTTGTTCTGTTAGGGGCAGCTGATGGAAAGGGACATCTTTGTGGTTCTTATTAACCACCTTAAGAAGTCAATTTTGACTTATGGTAAACCTAGGAATGAGAAACCTCCCATTCAGCCCATCCTCAACTGCCTTGCCAACTCAGGGCGGTGACTTCCTTCATTGAGATTATCTATCTGGTACAGGGTCTTCCTCCTTTTCTCTTGCCCTCCACTTTAACCAGCATTGCCATCTTTTCTAGTGATTAATCTCTTTTCACGACATGGCTAAAGAATGATGG